TTCCTTTTTAAGTTTTCCAGCTTTTTCCCTCCAGTGCTCTCTGCAGAAGCTCTGTCTTTATTCAGCAGTTTTTCTAGTTCTCTCTATAAATGTCGTTATTTTGTGATCTCTTAAGAGTCTCTTAGTCTAGTTTGCATAGAGCATGTCCTGGAAGGTGGAATGGAAACAGCCTAGTGGGCCGAAGTTATAGTGTGCCAAAAGCTGGCATCTCGTCTGTCTGTGCCTGCTCTACCACCTTCCTCTGATGGAGCAAATGCAAATCCTTAATCAAGGAGTCATTGCGGATGGCCTTTACTGCTTGGTTGTCTCTTCTTTTTAATTAAAGCACGTTTAAATCTTCTGTAAGCAATGAGAATCAGTCTACTACTCGGAAACTGTTATTCAGCGTGCAAAGGCAGAAATCTGTGTTCTTTATGTAAGAATATGAAAGGGAATGTCATGTTCTTGAAACCTGTCATGGAAAGGAGTGCTGGTGGTTTGGTTTCACGCAGCTTCTGTCTAGCAGGTTGAGTAAGGGCCATATTCCTGCCCCGTGAGTAATCAGGGAATGGGTGTCTTCTGCCTCCGAACTGAGCAACAAGCTGGTTGACTTATGTAGGGCTGTAAGGTGGTAGCGTCAGCAAGCAACACACTTTTTTCCCCTCTGGCTTCTGGAGGCAGAGGCTGGTTTATGCCTTTCAGCCAGTTCTTTTTGAGGCGTGGTTTTGTCTTGCTGAAGAGGAGGCGACAACAGTTTGGTGATTATCCTTATCTGCGCCCTTACCATGAGCAAGGGTAGCAAATGGATCTGGAGGCAGCTGGTTAAAATGAGTCACGCTGTGGTCATAGTCCTTTTTACTGTCACTGCTTGGGACTGAGTACATCAGTAATATTTTTCCCCCAAACTCAAAGCATTTGTAGCCACTTCGGTGACTCAAGCCACTGTACTGCTGCAAAAGGCTGCTTCCTGTTTGTCGTATTTCTGGCAGGATTTGTGGTATGGAAAAGGCACAAATATAGATCCCTTGCTGCGTGTCCTTCGCAAACAGCTTACCTCATTTCGCTTCTCATTTGAACTCTGAAGCCTGTCGAGGAGTCAGACAGAATTGAGGGAGATCGACTGGATCAAATCTAATTGACTGCTGAGAGCATTTGCTGCTATCTGGAAAATTACTGGCTTGTCTGAAAGCGGATAGGCTTGCCTGCCCTCCGCTTCTGGCGTAGTTTGTGGCACAACTATTTTTTTCTTTCCTTAGTACCAGACTCCTAATTTGCAGACAAAGTGTGCGTCACCTCAAGACCAGTTTTGGACAGTTTGTTCCTTAGCCTTAAATACCTACTCTGTTTATTCCTTAATTGCTTTTTAAAGTGTATTTAGATACCTTTGCTTCATCAGAATGATCAGGAAATAAAGATTTCCTCGTATCTCAGCTCGTTATTCACTTGAAGCAAATACCTTCTTGTGAGCCTAAGTGCTGAGAACTAGATAGTAATTCAGGCAAAATGTCCCCTCTATTTTACATTATTACGGAATTAAATGAGCTCACTTGTCTGCATAGGGGTTTGGGTTTCTGAATGACATCACAAGTCTGCATCTTCTGGTGCACGCTTTTTTAATTTGCACGAAATCGATACAGGGTTTATCTTTCGGACACGTGTTTTGGTTGTGTTTTGAAATCCACAGTTCGGGAAGAATGTGATCCTGGCAACGTGTTGGAAGCATCTTTAGGCTGTTGTGTATCTCTGCCTTCCACTTCCCAGAAAATGAAGGTTAATGTTTTTATGTTGCCATGATCTCAGTTTTGGTTCTAAAGAAAGATACAGCTTTTTAATAGGGAAGACTTGGAAAGGTTAATGATGCTGAAGTTGGGATGGAAATTTCTACTCCATAGGGTCAGAACTGCAACTTAGTGACAGCCAACACTTTGTTCTTCCATATATATCTTAGAGATACGGCTCTATCTAATTTTGAGTGAATCCAAACTTTTCTTATCTTTTAAGATATTTTTAGGTAATTCTTCTAGTCCCCTCCCCAGTTTAATTGGCCAAGTTTGAAGCAGCTCAAACAGTGAAATCTAAGTAATAAGCCTACTTGAGAGAGACTGTCCCTCTCCCTTCCTCTTCCTCAAGTCAATCCATCCAGGAACCTTCTTTGAGGGAACTTGTGTGTTGGTTTTGTGGTGTGTGTTTTTTTTGTTATCTTCCATGCTGCTTTACCCATGCTTCCTTTTGAAACAATGTTTCTGTGATTCCCTCGTGCCCCCCACCCCGTCCCTCCCCAATTGAATTTCTTATTTCAGGATTTTAAATAAACCATCATACAGATTGCCTCCGTTATCTTCCAACTGAAATATGCAGAACTTAGAGGCCTTATAGCATCTTTGATCAGTTCTTAAGAGTGGGAGTGCAAACTTCATGCTAACTTAAAGAAAATCAGAAGTTCCAGTTAATGTTTCTTTTCTGTGTGTGGCTTGTTTTTTTACCAAATATGTTGCTTCAGTGGCTTCCACTATTACTGTGTTGTATGTGTTAAATGTAAGCGTGTAGGAAGGGAACACGATAGAAACCTGTAAGCTGTACTGACTGCTTTAAACTTCACTATTAAATATGGCTGTTGTTTCTCAAATGTGATGTAGTTCCCCTGAGCTGGGACAGCTGTTTACTCTTTCCTTTCTCATCAGTCCCAGCAGCCACTGGAAGATCTGGATGCTAAGCTGAGGAGAACCCTTAGTCCAGAGACCGTTCCAGTGACATCCTCTCCTGCCTGTGTACGTTTGCGTTGTTGGCAGTTCGTAGTCTGGGTGTTTTCTCGAGGTCATGCTCCTGGGTCGCTGGCTTTGATATCACTGCACCAGTCTTTAGATTTTTAAAAGTAAAAATGAAGAGTCATCTTCTAGTTTGTGGGACTGAGTCAACCAAAATAGGAGAAATCTGTACGTTGCAATAGATTCCATATTTCTGGAGGCTGATTTTGTTATTAGTTCTTAATCCAGCTTTTTGTGGTGATGTCATTAACATCACCAAACCAGAAGGGGAAGTGACTGTGGAATAAGGGGAAAGAACACTAAACATCAGTACGTGATGTGCCAGTTTTAGTTTGGGAGGGATGTTTAAAGTGGGGATCTGAAATTTTAAAAGACTGTAATGAAGAACTTAGCTACCGAATGAGGGTACTGACTGACATTGTGATCTCCGAGTGGCTACTTGTGCATTCCTTCTGCAGAGCAAAAGGGGATGTTCTGCTGACAGCCTCGGGGCTGTAAGGTGTGCACAATCTCTTGCTGCCGTTGCTCGCTGTGGAGGTTAAACCCTTGCATTCGTCTTGTCCTGGGTCGTACTTCGACCCTGGTGGAAGTAAAAGCTGATGTAATACACAGTATGGTGGGTTTGTTGGCATTCTATCAAGCTGCTCATTCTTTTAATTCAATTTTGCTTCGTTTTCTCCCTTGAACCTGTAGTCTGTGCCCGCAGCAGCATCTACGACCGTTACCGGGTTGGTGTCCACAGCAGCACAGTCTCTGAAGGATGGTAAGACAGCCTTGATGACTTTAGATGGTTTCTCAGCGTGGAGATAAAATGTAAAATTGAACAGACTGGCAGATTGAAAGGATGTAGCCTGCTTCAGTTGGTCATACAGTGGCAGTGACTTAAGGATTGCATTAGTTTTTAGTAACTAGACTGAAAATTTCCACTGTAGGCCAGGAGAGGGGAGTGAGATACGCATATTATAGTAACTCATTTAGGATTTGAAGTTGTTCAAAATGCTAAAAGAAGACTTGCAAAGAATCTCCAGTATGCTGCTAAGGTACAGCGTCCGGATGCGAAGGAAGTGCTTTCTGTCTTAACGTTCTTGGCAACAGCAGTAGGAGTTCTCGTTTTGCGTCATCGTGCTGTGTTCTCTGTGTGGGATACCGCTTCCTAACCTTAGTGTTCCCTTTCTGTTTAAATATGGAAGCAAAGGTTTTACTACTAAAATTTTAAGAAAAGTACTAGGGAAATTGGTGTCCCTTCTGCCTGCTTTAGAACATCTGCAGGTTGACTGGGTGATCAGCAGTGGAAGTCTGAAGGATCGAGGGCCTTGAAGTCTAAAAGAGTTCAGTAGCTGGGGACGACGATGACCCAACAACTTGCAGAATAGTCTGAGACTTTCCTGCCAGTATTCCCCTAATTTTTTTCCTTCTGAAAATATTTCTTTTTTTAAAAGAAACAGTTAATGTGGTACTAAGATTATTTCTGAACTATATAGTAAATATTATTTAACTCGCATGTGTCTCTGAAGTTCGGTGACGAACCTTCCAAAGCCCGTAAAACCACGAGGGAAATAAAACACTCCCTTTTTGGTGTGTCACTAGTGAACTGTACTGTAGAACTCATTTATCTGCTAGAAAATGAGTTGGTTTTTGCCTGCTAAGGTTTAGAAGGTGAAAGTAAACAAACTGGGAAGGCGCTTAATAAACACAGCGAGCTGTCCAATAGAACTGATTTAAAAATAGAACGTTATTTCTCAGCTCTGTAACCTTATCCTGCCTGTGCATACAGCACTGAAATTAGGAGCTGACACCAAAGAATCCAGCTCTGAAAGCTTCAGATAGACTGCTTTGGGTAAACGAGGTTTATAGCATTTCTTCAACTTAGCACTTTTAATAAATTGGCACCAGCGTTTGTGGAATTTAGGCAGCCAGTGGGGGTATAGAATTAAATTAATGTAAATATCAGTTCTGTTTTTGGTTCTTTGGCTATTTCGCATCCCTGTTTGAAATCAGCGTGCTTTTTGTTTTTACTGCTACCTAAAAGTGTGCTTTTAGTAAATGCACTGTGCAGGAGAGCTTTATCAACAAATGCTTCTCTTCAGTATTGCAGTTTGATATTCTGCCTGGTCAAGTTGAAAAGAGGAGATCATGAATCCAAAGGCCTGCTAGGAGCTAGCTGATAGCTGAGTTTGAAGTAGATAAAAAGAAATTGTTGGCATTGAAATAATTTGTTGCACACTTTTCTCTTAATCCCCTTCTCCTTTTCCTTAGCTCCAGCGTCATGTGGAGGAGAGAGCAGTGCTACGGCTCCGGCAGCAGGAGCTGGTGTTCTTAAGATGGGACGGTTTCAGGTAGGAGATGTTCAGCTGATTTGGCTGTTGATATGGGATCTTTGCTGAGCAATTCCTGCACGCTGCCAGCTCAGTGTGCCTTGCTATGGCCTTTCTGTGGGAAGGAAATGTCCATGTGGAGCTTGGGAATGCAGTGCTTTGTGCCCATGCTGTTTTCATTCCGGGCAGAGACTGCACTGGACTGTGCAGGTCTGGAGTTGTGAATACAGCATTTTGTTGTGCCGGGCCTTAGCTGTGTAACTGTTGGCCTTGGCCTTTGCTGTTAGCTGCTTTTTGGCTGATGGTGCCCTGTTTGTGCAGGAAGTCCTCTCTGAAGCTGCTGTGGTTCTTGGAGTTAATCCTCCAGGTTGCTGGGAAGTACTGTTTTGTGTGGCAGCCTGTTACTCGGAGGGAAGCAGTAGCTTGGGTTGTGGCATACCGAGGAAATGAGTTATTTTCCCCTCTCAGATGCATCTCATTAGTAAGGTAAACAAAAGCATCACGTTAAGGAGGGACTAAGGAAAGTCTTTGTGATTGTGTTTCTATTCTAGGTATCCGTGGCAGTGGATGATGTGCTAAAAGAGGGTGACAAACCCAAAACTAAGCCGGTGCAATTTGAAACCACCTCCACTGATTCTTCATCTCTCTCTGGCAGTAGCCCAGAGAGTACACTGGTAAAGCAGGCTGGCAGTCGGAAAAGCGAGGCTGTTGCCGACTCTTCCTTGGATGTGGTAGACAGCATTGCTCCGACAGTTCCTGTGCTGCAATTACCGGTAGATGTTGCTCAGCCTACGAAGGTCGGGCGCTTTCAGGTAACAACAACGATGGATCAAGTGGGGCGCTTTTCGGTGTCAAAGACTCAGGATGAGGTCACCTGTGCAGAGAAAGAGCCAATGACTCTTCCTCTCTCTCTGGACTTGGAACAAGTTGCTTCTTCAGCTGCGTCTCCGAAGAAAGAGTTGGAATCAAGGCAGTCCCCACACATGAATGGTCCGTCCTCTGAACTGGAGGCTGCCTTCTTAAGCGGGATGGCTAAGGATTTGGATGACGGCTCGGGGAGTCCGGACTCCCTCCAGCCCCTGGGGTCAAAGATCAGCCTCCCCATTCAGAGCCTTAGCAACTCATTCAACTCTTCCTACATGAGCAGTGACAATGAGTCGGATATCGAAGATGAAGACTTGAAATTGGAACTCCGTCGGTTACGGGAGAAGTAAGGCTTTTTTCCTTGTGTGCTTGTGTAGGAAATGTGTAGCAGAGGCTTAAGATGAATTTCTCTTCATTTCATCTGGAATTTACTTCTCACAACAAAAGAGTAAACTTTAAAAGGCTAAACCGTTGGTGAGTCTTAGGACCCGTTGTCAGTGTTTATGTGGGAAGTAAGATTCCTTGGGGAAAATAATAGGTAATAATTAAAGTATATGTGTTTGTGCTTTATTTTCTGACCTGTAGTCTTGTTGCATGTGTCTGTGTGTGGATTGATTGCTGCACTGTTAAGGCTGCAGATGCATAGGAGCTTTTGCATATCATGGAAATCCATTAGTTGGTGGGAATAGTGGTGTCTTGTTTGAAAATGACACACAGCTCTGTATTTTGGATGATTTTCCTCTTTCTGAAGAATCCCTGTGGTCTCCAAACAAAATTTAGAAATCAAGCCATGTGATCTACTAATCTGTGTGTATAGAAAGTTGAACTTTTTCTAGGGCAGCTGGCAATTTTAAGTTTTGTGTATGTGACTGCTCTGGAAAAATGGAGGCATAACAGTCTCTGAGGCCATATCTCTCAGAAAATGAGTAATCTAGCTGTTCTTGGAGCATTTTAATGCCGGATGATTTAATCTTCTACAGCCAGCATACCTTGTTTGTATTTACGTTTATCCTGGTTTTGCCATTACAATATTGGGATGTTTTTGTTGGAGTTCTGGCCAGGGTTAGAGCACAGTGGACAAGGACAAGTTCTGCCACGTGCCATCAGCGGTGGCTTGTGGAAAAGACTTACTGCCTCCTTTCTTAACTGTTAGTGGGAGTTTGACCAAAGAGTCTGGCCGGGATGGACTGGAGGGCAAGGATTGCATGTGTATGTAGCTGTTCTAAGTCATACTCTCTTGTAACTCGTTAGGCACCTTAAGGAGATCCAGGAGCTGCAGAGTCGCCAGAAGCAGGAGATTGAGTCACTCTACATGAAATTGGGAAAGGCACCACCTGCAGTAATTATCCCCCCAGCTGCACCTCTTTCTGGAAGGAGGAGACGTCCTACTAAAGGAAAAGGCAGCAAGTCCAGTCGTAGCAGCTCCCAGGGAAATAAGAGCCCTCAGCTATCAGGTAAGGCACTCTCCAAGGTTTTGGGTGGATAAAACAGACCAGGAACCATCTCTTGCTCTTAAATCTACGTCTGTGTCTCTGTCTTGTCTTGTGTGTCCCTCAGTTCCTCCACTGCCTGGATTACTAGATCGCTTTTGCTGTTTGGTTTTCTTGCTTGAGACTTTAGCAATCTACTCAAAGATACTGTTGTGCCTTAAGAGCAATTTTGAAGTTGTGATTTGTGTTTTTTAGAAGTTAGTCATCTGGCTGTAGCCTAGGAGGGTTGGGGAACCTCCTCTCTGGGCTGAAAAGTGTAAATATACAATATGGGGGGGAAAATGTTGATTTACTTGTTTAAGATTAACTGTTCTTGTTGCCTCCTGAAATTAGTTTTGCAGAATGGGGCTGGTTTCTTCAGTCACCTTTGTTTTTTCTACTTCAGTAGCACTTAAGCAGGGTGTTACTAGTGTCCTTAAACTTCAGAACCCTACGCTTGATGGGTTTTAAAGTTTTGTAATGGAGTTGCAATTTTTTTGTACTTAAATTTGAGTAAGTGTCAATTGTCAGGGCGTGCTTTCTTACTAAAAGCATTTTGATATTAACCAGGACTCAGAAAACTAGTTCTGTTTACTGTTTGAATGACGCGGATGTCAGCTGCTCGCTGCGTAACTGTAGACGCCTCTCCAACCCTGTGGCGTGGAGTAAACAGTGTTGGAGGGCCAGCACTGGGAGCAGGAATATTTGTTCCTGCTTCCTGCACGTCCACTTTGGTAATTCCACGTCATGCTCCAGTTTCTGTGTCCAGTCGCTCTGGCTGCTCACTTCTGGTTTGTTACGTGATAGGGGAGCATGTGACACTGAGCTAACACAGAGTTGCCTTAAAACTTCAAGGAGGGAAGAATTTTTCCAGCCTCTCTGCTTTCTCAGAAACCAGAGTGGTTGTCTCCCCATCTTTTGCCTGGATTGTCATGCTTCTCCAGAGGATATCCCTTTTTTCCCCCACCCACTAGAGCATTTTTTTCTGTATCACTAGTAGTAGTTCAACCGACCATTTGAGTTACTTGGCAGTGACCTCACTCCCTAAGAAATGTTCCAGTCAAATTTTTCCTCTGTTTTTTGTTCCTGTCCCTTTGGAACCATGACAGAAGCTTGTAGAACGTTGTGGGGGAAACCGAAATGCTGAATGTCTCTTTGCCTTCCTTCCTCTAGGCAATCTGTCGGCTCAAAGCGCGCCATCAGTCTTGCCCCCCCAGCAGACTCTTCATCCTCCCGGTAGCGTGCCAGAGGCTGGGCAGAACCATTTGTTACAGCCCCTCAAACCTTCACCTTCTAGCGAAAATCTCTACTCTGCCTTTACCAGTGATGGTGCCCTCTCGGTACCGAGCCTTTCCGCACCAGGCCAAGGTAAGACCCCAAGCGGAACGGCTGTCGAGTCTCGCGCCTCCGTTACCGGTGAACAAACCAGCGGCCTGATGACGCTTGATTTTTATTTTAATACATAGCAGAAAGTAAATTGGCGGCCTCCAGCCCATGCGTGGAGGCCGATACGGCTGTGTTCCTGCCTTCTCGCGTAGGTGAGATGTCTGGAGGTGGTTGAAGCGACGAACACAGAACGCGCGGCCCTGTCCGCGTTAGGAGAGCGCCAAGGAGAACAGGAGAGTGTGGTGGTGGTGGCAAGCATGGTTCTGCTCGCCTGGGGGGAAAGGAATGGGCTGAAAGGATGAGGAGGGGGGTCGGAAATCAGAAGGGAGAGGAAGGAAGGGGCACACAGAGCAGCTTTAGTGTTCACAGGTAATTGAAATGGTAGGGAATTTCTGAGGACTCAGAGTCCATTTAGACTCCCAAACTGCTTTGGCTGTTGCTGTCAATGGGATTTCTAACAAGGAAAGGTAAAATTGGCTCATGTTCTGCATCTGTGAGTTAGAGTTATCCTGGAAGGAAGTGTTAGTGTAGGAGGATGGGATGGTAGGAATAATACTCATTTACCCAAGTTACTCAAGTTGTGGATTGTTTGTTGTTAATATGTTACCAAATACTGTCTCAGACACAGCTTGCTCTGATTTATTTGAGAGGGAGGGCTTTTCTGCTTGCCAGTCATTAGGTGGCTCACAGCTTGATTCCTTTACTTCTCTGAACTTAGCTGTTCCATTTTTTTCCCCCCTTGAACATATTTCTGAAAAGTTTTGCCACAGGCTGGTAGAATACATCAATTCCAATCCGTGTTTTTGCTGGAATTGGCTAAGTGCAGCCAGGAGATGGAAACAGACTTTTGGGGAAGAATTTCCTATAGTGTGTTTTAATGAGCTGTTTCAGGTATTTTGGAGCCCCTTGAATCACCTCCCCATATCTAGTCATGCAGTACCGTTTTGTAATTGGACACTTTCGCCAGGATTTGGCTTTCCTACAGACTGTAGCCTTATTGTTGGGTTACGTAGTGGAGAGTCACGCTGCAGACTGGGCCTCATGTCTGGAAGTATTGGCGGGAGTCTTCTCGCTCCGTATGTTGTCTACGTACTCTTCGGTCCGCACTTGGAGGCTTATTCTTGTGTGTCGTGTTAAAGCATTTCACCCTTCCAACCTCCAGTTGCTAACATCTTGTAGTGGTGTTCTGTCTCTTCTCCTCTCCTTCCTCTGTTCTTCCCCTTTTTGTTTTCTCACAGGCTGTGCGAAGTTTAACTGTGCGTCTGAGAGAGTGACGTTCAAGCCTGGTGGCAGGAGGACCCGATTTCTGAGTACGCCCTGCTTGGCTCTTTGTGTGTAACACCTTTACTCCTTCCTTGTCTGGTTTTCGTTTTGTCTCCTTTGGTTTTGGTTTTCTGCTGCTTGGATCCGTTTCACGCAGCCCGTTCTCATCTGCCACCTTGTATCCCATTCCATGGCTCCGCTGAGCTGCTCTTAGCGCATCTTTAGAAGTTTGGGTTCTCGGGTGTCGCTCAGTCCCTAGTAGCACGTGCTCACTTTCGCTAAGCTGGTTGTGCTGGCTCTTTCGTGGCTGGTCAGTGACAAGACAAACTGGGGGGGAGGGTTACCAGGCTGGGGGTGCACGAGCGTTTTCCTTCAGCCTCCCCTAGTAATTACGCCTCGGCACATGTGCTGGCCTGAGACCCGGAGGGCAGGCAGTCTTCCTGCTGGAACAACGAGGAAGATTTCTTTTCCAAATTATGCCTTTGGACACTGCTCTAAGCGATGGGGAGGATATGTTGCCGCTCTGCAGCAGTGTGCTTGCTGCGCAGGGTGCTCCTCACGCCGGCGCTGGTGACGGGGCAGGGCGTTGATGCCATCTGCCGGCAGCTGACGTTGCTGCTTGTGTTCATGGGCACACGGATCGCTGCTCGTTGAAGCGCTGGGGGGTCAAAAAGTACTTGGAGAGTATCTTCAGGCAAACTCAAAAGATCCTTAACCTGCTGATGGGCCCAGGGTTAGAAGTCTTTGCTGTGAATTGGAGATTCCCTAAGTGCCCAACCAATAGCAGGTGGGTAAACGGACAACTCCAGGCATCCTGTCAGCCCTCACGAGTTACCTCGCAGCTCTCCCAACATCCTTCAGTTTGTACTGACGTGAGGCCGGACTTAAGAGACCCTCAAACTTCTGATGTGATTGACGTAGTGATACGCTTGAGCCGAGGCTGCTGGTGCAGTGCTTTTTATCGGGAGTGCTGCAACATCTCCAGTGCTGCTTCTGCAGGCCGGACCCTTGACATGTCCGACATTTGTTTCCCACCCTCTGGAATGACTTGGTGTACTAAGACCTTCGGTGGCTGTGCTGCATGACGGTACCGCACGTGTGTAGCATCCGTCTCGCTGCAGCTGGCCCTCGCTGGGCTGGAGAGGTGTGTGCAGGATCTGGCCTTCTGCAGAGACAGCTGCAATGCCACTGGCTCCGTCCTCCAAGAGAGGGAGGGAGGCGGAATTTTTTTCCTGGCTGCTCAGTTTCGCAATGATACCTCTGTCCTGCTCATTGGATTTGGGGATATAAGTACTAATGGTATTTAATTTTTCAAACTGAGCAGCTTAAAGTGGTTTTGCGAGATACGTGGATTTGCGGATGTGCACTGACGACATCCGCAGCCTCACGGTTTGTGGCTCTTCTCTCGGAAGAAGTTAAATTCTTACCAGAGCTGAAGTCCTCCTTAGTCTGGCCTGTCCTGGTTTGGGGTAGGGAATATCAAGAACAGCGATTCTGGGTCTAGAGTTGACAATGAGCTGAATAGATGAGAGTATCACTTACTTGCCTTGGCTTGCTGCAAAGTGAGCATCGTCTGGCCGTAAGAGTACTTGAGCATGTATATCCTTTGCTCGTGGGACTGGATTCCTTTGGAAAAGAGTGTTGTAGCTGTCCTGTAAAAGCAGGTAATACTGGGCATGGCGCAGCTTGGCACGTGGCTTCCTGCAGGTTGCTTGCTTCCCGGAGTCTTGTCCGTGAAACACTGTTGAGGAGAGTGACAACGGAGAAGACGCTGGGTTAGAATTGGCGGTGTTGAGGAAACAGTGCAGTAACCGATGCTTTTAACTGTGCAGCTGGAGAAACAGTGGTACAGCCTGGCAGGGAAGGGCTGAGCTATTCCATGGGCCTGAGAAAACAGGGTGACAAGCTAAAAGCAGTTGACCTATCGGTGCTGTAAACCAGTCAAACTTTGGTAGCTGCAAAACGCTTCCTGTGCCCTGACCAAAGCGGAAGGTGTACTTGCTTTTCCTGTTGCGCTAACAGCCGGTTGTGACAGCAGTGTCTCCTGACATCCTCCCCTTCGGTTTGGGAACCGTGGAGAATAAAGGGGAGCAGGAGGCTGGGCCCCTTCCCGAACGTGCACCTGGTTAAATTGTCAGACCAGTCCTTGGGTTTTCCCAGAACGTCCCCGTGGGGACTCCGAGAGCCCTGCTGTGCTGTGTCCTCTGTTTCTCACCAAGCTTCTTGTACTGTTTGCTGATACTAAACATTTCTCACTGTTTTCTCTTTAACAAATTACTCTCTCTTTGTGCTTCAGGGAAGATGGTGAAAAAAGTCTGTCCTTGCAACCAGCTCTGTAGTAATTATCTTATTTCTGTTATCTCCGATTCCTGATTGTAAAGCTACTCATCAGCTTTTTCTGGTCACTGAAGCCTTACCTCCCTGGCTCTGTCTCCAGCGCAGCGTCTGTCTGTCTGTGTTAAGCCCTCTGATGTGTCCACTCTTGTCAGGGTTCTGACTAGTCTGGCTGCCCCCAGACAAGGGGAGGGGGCTGGAGCCTGCCCTTCGCTGTGGGACCCCTTGCTCATGGCTAACGGGAGCGAACGGAGCAGAGGGGTCGGTCACTCAGTATAATGTGCTGGAGCTGTACCTTTTGAGCAGCTGCTTTGTCTGGTGGGGCTCGTCTCCAGTTGCAGGCACTCCTTCACCGCTTTAGGAGCGCGAGTAAGCCGTCCCAGATCTCCGGTGTGGCTCCCGAAGTGAGAGGTGTTTAGAAAAGCCTGTGTGTGCTCAGGCCACTTAAGACTGGTTTGAAGGTGTCTCCCGACTGCTGGCTTGCGGGGAAACCAGGAGGGGGGAATGAGGGCGTTGTAGGCAGCGGGCTGGAGAGGGGCACCCTGTTTCACGTCAGAGCAGAACCGGGGACGGCTGCTGTGACCGGGCAGGAATGTGGGGGGTTGGTT